CCAAATGTCTATCCACCGAGGATTGGATAAGAAAATTGTGGTACTTTTATGTAATGGAATATTACTCAGCTATAAAGAAAGATAAACTCGAGGCCTTTATAGGGAAATGGTCACAACTAGAGACCATACTCATAAGTGAAATAAATCAGACCTGCATGTGCAAGCATCACATTGTTTCACTAGTGTAAAACCTGAAGAGTTAATTTAAACCAGGAGGTATGATAGCCATTGTGAAATGATAGGAAAACACTGAAGGGTAAAGGGCTTCTGGGATGTGGGAAAAGAGAAGGGAAAGAAAGAGAAATTTTGTATGTATGTATATACAGGATAGTTAACATAGCTGCTCTACTGTCTTCTATTTCTTTGCTGAAAGAAACTGTCAGTGAGTCCTTGATTGATCAATATTGCATGTGTTTATCTGTTTTCATGAGAAGCCACTTTGAAGATATCAATATGTAATACAACAAGTATTGTTAATTCCCTACCAGTTTGTTTGTAACTCTGTATTGTCTGTACTGTTCTTTTGCTATTTTGTAAAATGTCTGTTAATGTTTTCCTCCTTTTATTTTTAAAATAAAAAAAAATGAGAAAGTTGTTTTTAAAATTTCTGCCTCTCCTAATTAATTACATATCCATTTTAGACACAGTAAGCAAATGGTTCTCTAGAACTGGGCTTTGCAAATCCTCTTTATTATTTTACAGCCTTAGAGTTACTGGCTTTTATTTTTTTAAATGGCTGTGTAAGCACAGTACTTATATAATATACTTTATTTTGCCTCTTGACAAAGCTTTTTAAAAACTTGCTTGTTCTCCCTGTGGAGCAAATAACCTTCCCAGGTAGTATTTCTTTCAGAGACTATGCTATGATTCAGTTCATTATAGACCAATAATAGGAGACTTGAGCCAGACACAGTGTTATGTTTGTACTTGTGAGGCTGAGGCAGTGGGATTGCAAGCTTGAAACCAGTCCTGGCAACTTAACAAGACCCTATCTCAAGAGGGGTAGGAAGCAGAGATGTAGCTCAGTGGTAGAGTGCCCCTTGGGTCAGGAGCCAGTCTCCATTCTACCCTTCCCACACACAGTTGTGTGTATAGGAGTGGAATTGATAGATCCCTCCCCTGCTTTTTAAAAATAAGCTGGCAGTTACATTTTCATGTGTAATACTCAAATTTTTAAATGTTGACTGTGAGTTAATTTTAAGAGAACTTTCTGGCTACTCCGCTGTGTACAAAATATATACTTATAGGCTAATCACTGATAACTTTTGGGCAAGGAGATATGGAAAAATGGTGGCAGACACTAATTCTGTAAAGCGTTGCATACTTAGGGTTGCTTTAGCTTGTTGTTTTCTTCTATTTCTGTTCTATAGGTTGAGCTAGAATAGAGGAAAAGAATGTAATAATTAAGCTCATTTCTCAGTGGAATCCTCATTCAATTTTGCTTTAGGAAGTTATTAATATTTATTAGTCTCAAACTGGGTGTGGTTGTACACCTATGTAATCTGAATACTCTGGGAGGCTTAATGCAGGAGGATTGCAATCCCAGCCCAATCTGGGCAGTTTAACGACCTAGTGAGGCCCTGTCTCAAAAAAGTTGTTTGTTCTCTTCCCTTCTGTGGTTTGGGGGAATCTTTTTTTTTTTGCAAACAATTTTTAAATAGCATTATAAAGTCAAGATAGGTTAAATATCCACGATCTTGAAATCTGAAATGTTCCAAAATCTTAAATTTGTATCACAAATAAGACCCTACAGGTGAAAAATCCTACGACTGAGTTCATGTAAGAGGTTGCAGTCAGAAAACAGGCACACTAACATTATTATATAAAGTTTCTTGAATTTATGTGTGTAAGGTATATAAGAATGAATTGAATTTTATACAAATGAATTTATGTTTATACTTGGGGCAGCCCTGCTCAAGCCCTGCTTGCCCAGATAGCTTATTATGTGTATGTCAATATTCTCAAATCCAGAATAATCTGAAATTTGAAACACTTCTAGTTATAAGCATTTCAGATAAGGGATATTCACCTGTTTATATAAATTAGATGTTAACAGAAGGTTAGGGTCTAGTGACTACATTGAACAAACTACACCCTAAGTACTTTATATAATTTTCTTATTTTTATTTATTTATTTATTTTTGTCTTTTTGAGACAGGGTCTCACTATGCAGTTCAGGCTGGCCTTGAGCTCACTTTGTAGCCCAGCTTGGTCTCGAACTTGCAGTGATCCTCCTGCCTCAGCCTCCTGAGTGCTTGGGTTACAGGCATGTGCCACCATGCCTGGCACACTGTAAGTGCTTTATTGGATTATAGCAGTGATAGCAAACTTTTTAGAGCTTTCAGTGATAATAAACAGCCAGCTGCAGCTCATGTGCTATATAGGTTTGTCAGCCCTGGATTATAGTCTTATACCTTAAACATGATTAAATTTTAACTCACTTTAAAAGCTTTTGTAGAATCTAGCATACTCTTTTAGTCATTATGAGCATTAGCTTGTCATTGTAAATAAAACTATAGACACTCTCACTATATTAAGTCCTTTGTGGCTTTTAGAATATACTGGGTTTCTCCTAGCTTTACAGTGTAGTCTCAGAACTAAGAACTGAAGAGTCTTGGGCCAAGTCACTGCAGCCAGAATAACCAGACTGCAGCATGGCTGCTCTGGGCATTTTTGCTGGTGTAACAATCCCTGAAGTTTGGCGCATGATCAGTTTGGATTGCGACAATTAGGATTTGTCAGAAGATAGTGAAAACAGCCAGTTCAAAATTGTGATGGCCTAGTTCATTGTGCAACCTTTGAAATTTAAGATTATTCCAAGTTGATGTTCTACTAAAAGGTGAGTGAGTTTGGGAGTCGTTTTTAAAAAGGTGGATATGAGCAAGAATTTCAGATAGATTTAGAATATTTTAATTTTGAATGCTGCTTGCTTTTGTCTTTAACTGGGTTGGAAATACTGAGGGAAATAAGGTAGTTTATTGATCTATATATATGTAGAGGTACAGTTTTAAAGCACTGAATATTAGGCAATGCATTTTGCTAGTACATATTGGGGGAGGCTTATTTCCTTTTATGGCAGTAATTGGCAGTGTTAAAAACAACTTTCATCTAGTGTCATCACTTGTTTGTTGTAAAACATTTTGTATATTTTAAATAATCCAAATAAGACAATTTATTTTTGAGAGTATAACATAAAAGTTAAATGTCTAAAAGTGGCATTTCTATCACTGGTATAGTTAGTGTCTATCATAATAGAAGGCTTTTATAAACATTACGACTGTCAGGTAAAAAAAGAACACTAAATACTTTGAAATATGAGGACATTAGGACGAAGTGATTTGAGGCAGAGATGTTTCATGTTTTAATGAACCAGAGCAAGTTTTGGAATCCCTTCTGTAGATTGGGCTGGGGTGGTTGGTGTAAGAGTTGGAATCGGGGTATATTTTATTTACATTTAAATAAATCTCTATGTGACTTTTCGACTCCCAGTGGTAATTGGGATAGTATACATAAGTAAACAAACACTGGAGTTCATAAAATTGGCATTTAGATCGAACTGTGGCATTTAGTAATTGTTCAGCCTTCAACAAAATCTGTCACCTTCTGTGTGGCTTTTTCCGTCAGCATGGAATCAGATTTTGGGACTAGACTTTTTAAGATACTTCTTTTTTTGAAACACTCTCTGAGGGAGCCCTAAGTCCTGTCTGTAGATAGGACTCATTTATGGTTTGTCAAGGTAACAGATTACTATGAAACTATTAAATGAGTACAAGATGGTATTATGCATTCATTCATTTATCAGACAGATTTTGAATCCTATATACTAGGCACTATTTTTGGTATTAGAAATATAAAAAAGAGCACATAGGTATAGGGGTTATATTAGACAGATCAGACTATAAACGAATACGTATCAGTGCTATAAAGAAAAGTATCTTCTCAAAACTTTCAGACATGGTAATGGGAAAAAGAAGATATAAAATATGTCTGTGATACTACTGTTAGGATTTTTAAAACGTTTAGGCCTTGGTTGCTATGGTGACTAGAGGTCAGAGTATGGCACAGTAGTGAGAAGCCTATTTTTTCATACCCTTCTGTGCTATTTAAATATTTTGTTTTGTTTTGTGTATGTATTACTTAAATCCATGATATGAGGAAGATAAACTAATGATACAGTTAACATGCTTTAGTCCAGTGTGAACTTTTTTGCCTACTAGTCTTATTTATGTATAGTATAGTGTGTCCTAATAATGTTTAAATCTTTGGGCTTTTGATTTTATCGACTTCTTTTTGATATGTCTAATTGTTTTGTATTGACATTTGTAATATTAAAACTTATTTATATGTAGTTTTCTTTAGTGTGCTTTCAATACCTTGAAAAATCCCCTAAAAGTTCTAAGCTTTTCAGTAAACATAGTTTGCTTATTGCATGTCTTCCTTAGGATAAGAATTAAAATTCTTGACATTTTGACTTCTGTGGCTTAACTTTTATTTCAGTTTTAGTATGTTTACTGTTAGGTTCCAAACATCATTGAACTTGGAGAACTCAAATGAGATCAGCACCCCCCCTTTAAAAAAATCAACATGCTAAGCATCTTTCCTGATTTTTTTATCTGTTTTTTCCTAGTTGGATGAAAAATCTGACAAACAGTATGCTGAAAATTACACAAGGGTGAGTATTTAAATTCCCAAGTTCAGTTAAAGTTACTTTCTATGACTTGTTCCTTTTTTATTTTACAATAATTTGTTGGATGGAGTTACTCTTCTTCCCTTCATCTATTTCCTGTCCTTGACCCCTCAGAATTCCTCTGAAGTTAAATCATGTGAAGCCCAGGGAAGGGAAAAGACTGCATTTATTATATGTCACTTCTTAGTTTTTGGCTGCTCTTTTGATTTTTATTTCTCTGAAAATGGATCCCAAGAAACCATTAAACACTGGAAATAAAGTGTCTATAGGACTGATGGTAACAAACCCACAGGGCTTTTTCTTCTTTTATTAGATAAATTGTTTCTTGAAGAAAAATTACTCTCTACAAGTTGCTTTTGTGCTAAACTTTGTAGTTTCATTGTAAAAGTATTTTTAGAAAGTCAAAGAAATAATTTCTCAGGATTAATATGTTATAGCCAAGAAAGATCAGCTTTGTCAAATAGGAATATAATACAAGGCGCCTAGGAAGCTTATGTAAGTTTAAATTTTCTATTGGCCACATCTAAAAAGTAAAAAGAAACAAAAGTAATTTTTAACCCAACTATCCAAACTATTTTAATATATAATCAAAATAAAAATTATTGGTATAGTTTTATCTTTTCTCCCAAACTAAGCCTTCCCAATTATGCATTTTATGCTTAAATCTCAATTTGTACTGATCACATTTCAAGTGCTCAGTACACACATGTGGCTAATGGCTATAATTGGACAGCACAGATAGGTGTCATTCATCAATCAGTGACATAATCTTATGTTTAAACTGATTCTGGGATGAGCAGTCCAAATTCATAGTGATACACACAATATAGTTGCTTTTGACTGCAAATCTCCATATTTATGAGCAAAGTATTAGGAAAAAGTAGAGATTCTTCAGGAGATTTAGGAACTAAATAGGGAAGTGCTAATTACCATCCTACTTACACAGTTCTGAAACTGTTTTAAATTAATTAATATGGGCCGGGCGTGGTGGCGCATGCCTGTAATCTCAGTAGTCGAGAGGCTGAGGCAGGAGGATCATTGCAAGTTTGAGACCAGCCTGGCTACAAAGTGAGCTCAAGGCCAGCATGAACTGCATAGTGAGACCCTGTCTCAAAAAGACAAAAAAATAAAAAATAATTAATTAATTAATCTTATGTGCTTATCTCCTGAGTATTATTTAAATATAGCAAAGATAAACTTAGAAAATGAAACAACTCCCATAAAAACTATTTCCTTCTTGGTTATTTTGAACTTTAGATTCTGACAAGGTTTTTGATTCAATGAAATTATGCTTAATATGCCTAGTCTCTGTTCTTAATGCTTCCTCCCGCCAAACCAATCTAAATACCCCATCAGTTGTACTTGGTAACTTCGTTGCCGCACTGTGAAGCTTACATCTGCTCCCACAACCCTGCCCCATTTCTAGTGTGCACAGCAAGCAAAGGAGCAAAGAGTCAGTCGTGTCTGTTTCTCTTTCTCTAGCCCTCATCTCGAAATTCTGCCTCAGCAACAACTCCTCTGAGTGGAAACTCATCCAGACGAGGAAGTGGGGACACCAGCAGCTTAATAGACCCAGACACCTCATTAAGTGAATTGCGGGTAAACTCAGTTTTTGGTTTGCTTTTTAAAAGTCTTTTGGTTTCTTTGTAGTGTACTGGAACTTTTATCATTTAGTGTGACTTATTAGAGAGGAGTATGAATTCTTTTGAAAAGATGCCTAATATAGTTCAAAAATTTGAGTTGGATGTTTTAGAGCCTGAAAAGAATCAGGTGTTTTTTTGTTCTCTTTCTTGAAAATTGAATGGTATTGGCATCAGTTTTGCTAATGCCAAAAAAACACTTTTTATATATAAAAGTAATTCTCTCAGAATTAATTGACCATGTTTCAAATGGGAAATATGTAGATTTACAGAGTAGCAGACTGGGAATTATTAGTCTTCTGAGCCATTATAATATTTGGCTGAGTTATCTCAGTTTTTCATAGTAATAGAAGTATATAGTTCTATTTGTATAGCAGAAATACTTAAGAAAATAAAAAGCTTATTTGGTCTTTCGTTGAGTGTCATCCTCATTAACCCTTTTGTTTAGAAGATGAGAATTTAAAAACATGCTGAATGTCTATTTTGAAACCTTCTGTTACAAATAGGAAAGTGTAATGACAGAAACTGTATCCCTTCCTTCCTTCCTCCATTAGTTCAAAGTTTATTGAATATGTGGCATTGGACATTTATCAGGAAAATATTCTGGCTTTCAAGAGGTCACTCTCTCACAGGGAAGATAAATTGACATAAACTAGTACCACTCTGGTGGTAGCAAAGAATAGAGTAAGGTAATCTGGAAAAGTACCATCTAAATTCAGCTTAGGAGAAGATATAAGAGAAGGCTTTTTAGAAAAGACAAATTCTGAGATGAGGTTTGAAGGAAGAATAAGCAGTAAGTAAAGAGATTGAAGAGGGTAAACTTTCTCAGGTGCATTCAGAAAACTAAAACATTACCTGTACAATAAAATTGCCCAATGGTAGGATAAGAAGTAATTAGTAGTGGTGGGCAAGAAGAAATGCTAGAGAAATGGTGGGTGGCCAAATCACAAAGCATCTTCTACGTAGCTTGAAAGGATTTAAATTTTACCCTGACAACTGTAGTATGTTCAATTTGGCAGCAATAGAGCTGATTTGTATTCTTAAAAATAATTTGACCACAGTTCAGAAGATGCATTGGAGCCCAGGAGAACAGTAATCCCGTGAGGATGAGGTAGCACTCAAAACTGTGAAGGTAGAAAATACAAGACACTTGTTCTCAATTGGATATATGAAGCAGGAAGTTGGTCAGGAAATGGGAGAGAGACAGAAAGAGAGAGAGAGAGAGGGAAATTAAGAAATTAAGAAAAGGTTTTAGTGGTAAGATTGCTTATTATTTTCATGGATTGGATTGAACCAGTAGTAATAGGGTGGAGAAAGAAGAGGTGAGAATAACTGACAGAGCAAACTGCCTGAGGGATGAGAGGAAAGGTCACCCAGGGCTCAGGTAGATGGATTTGCCTAGAGTGGAGGTCCTACTGCTGGCATTATAGAGGAGGAGGTAGAGACAAGTAGTGACTGAATAAGATTATAGCTGGGGTAGGAATAGGAGTCTCTTTTGTGAAATAAGCTTTGAAAAAGAGAGCTAGAATTTAAGGGGGAGGATGGAGAGGTTTGAAACAGTAGCACAGGAGAACTGATCCAGACCACCATGTCGATGACTTTGAAGGTTTCAGTATTTATTAAGCTCTTAGTAGGAATTTACTGAGAATAAGTTCTGGTTGTGCAGTCAAAGCAATTCTTACTTTTAAATGTTAAAAAGGACAGGGGCATCCAGCCTCAGACCTAGCTTGCTCTTGTCACGTACTTGCTGCTTGTTTTTCTTCCTTGAGAGAATGATCTCTTTGAAGGCGGTGAGATATTTGCGTCTTAGCACCTGGTTTCTCATAAGTCCTCAGTAGATGCCTCTTGCATGAATAATAAGTAAAAGAAAAATCTATCAGCGAAGGAATGAAGGGAACAGGGAAAGCCTAATTCCAAAGATGGGTCTGATTGATCCTGTCTATAACTGTAGAACGGTAGTCAGGGCCTGTGGCAGTTATATTTCACCAAACTTAAGTATCCAGAACAGACCTACATAACAAGGTCAGACACAGGGGAAACAATATTTTCCATTTAAACTTCAAGCTGTTTCACTTAGAAGAATTATGGTAACACTTGGAGCAAGTGTTTTTCTCATTTTATGAATTGTGTCCTTAGGATAGACTATCTCATTTGACTTCGTATTCAAACCTTGTATTTAAAACCAACCCCCCATTAATTGTTGTCAGTAACCAATTCATTGAAAGACAGTTTTGTTCATGTATATTTTTGAAGCTCATACATTAATCAGTAAATTTTCTTATAAGTAATTTAAAATGTATTTTACTAAAGCTGAGATATTGTGCAAAAAGTTATTTGTGACTTAGGAAATTTTAAAAGTTATGTCCAAATGGCATTTTTACATACATAGTTCTGCCATCATTAATGCCAAGAAAATATTGAACACTATGTTGATTACTCCAGCTGTTTCTCCAGCTGACCTCATCTGACCTATTTGCCCCTTTCAAAGGTTCGGGGAGGTAGGGTTATGTTTTTGTGTTTTGATTTTCCTCCTTTTAGTCTGGAATATACAAAAGTAAGTAGTATTTTCTTCTGACTCCTTTTAAACTTAAGATATGTTTGTGCATGGTTTTATGCAATGGTTCATTCCTATGTCCTACAGGATATCTATGACCTTAAGGACCAGATACAGGATGTAGAAGGGAGATACATGCAGGGACTTAAAGAACTAAAGGTATCAGGGCCCGTTTTGCAGCCTAAGCATGCTCTTTATGCAGAAATGTTGGTAATGGTGGTTTCACAAGTTCTTTTAACCCACTGCACATAGCTTTACTAACAGTGTTTGTCTTTCAAGCATGTGCTTAACTGGCAAAGCATAGGAAAGGTGAACTTTCAATCACTGCTTATGTTTAAATGTTTTGTAGCATTTCTGGAATACTCAGCAGAAAATACACTACTAAACTTTATAGTTTTTAAGACTTGTATACTATTTGCATGCCTCTTGTGTCTTAGTCATACCAAGTTAGATAGGGGAAATACCTAAAAATATTTTAATGATACCTTTATTGAGAATTAGACCTTAAAATTCTTCCCAGCTAAATGGAAATATGTTGTCGAATTCTATTACCAAACTCAATGCAAACTAAAAGTGGGAGAAAGAAGAAGCTATGAATGTTATGAATATGTATTCTGGAAGCAGGAACCTGTAAACAGGAGGCCTATGTTTTCGTTAAAATTTTTTACTTACGGATCAAAAAGGATTACATAGGTGTCTAGGGTCATAAAGAATTTGGAGGTAAATATAAATAGGCTTTAGTTTTTCTGGTAAGAATGACTGCCAGTTTTCAGTACCAGTGTGTGGAGTACACATTTTGGTTGTATCATTTGGTTATTATGCTCTTCTTTTCCCCATGTTTTGTTAGGACGTTCAAGGCTAGTATTACGAAGACACCAAAAGTTCTCTGAATATTGTGTATATTAAAATATTTGAAATCAAAGTATATAACCAACTTTCTAGAAAAGTTAAAGCAAGGCATTGAGAACAATACTCAGAATATACCAAAACGGGCAGGAAGACCTGTGGGGAGTGCCATGAGGGAGGCGTAGAAGCTGCTGATAAGGCCCCATGACAGGTTGCTTATAAACATTAAGAGAACTACAGAATTAGTATGTTGATGTTGTCTTTGTATGTGTGTTTGTACTGGGCTGTGAATCCAGGCTACTCCACCACTGAATTATATCCCCAGCCCTTTTTTCCTTTCCCTTTCTCCTCCTCTGTTCTCCCCCTCCCCAACTCTTATCCCTCTTTCCCTCCCCCTCCCCTTCCTGTTTTTCCTCCCCATCTCCTTTTCTCTTTTTGAGACAGGATCTCACTAAATTCCCTAGGCTAGCCTTAAACTTGTCTCATTTCCCCTGCCTCAGCCTCCCAAATAACTGAGATTAAAGGTGTGTACCATGGCACTGAGCTCTCCTTTAGTCCTACTGCTCCGTTCTTCAGGATTCAGTTACCTTTTCATGACATAACTTGTGGAAATATCTTGACTCAAGGGTACAAATTCAGTACATCAAATAAATACCATATTAAAATTTTGTATGTAATTAGGAAAGAAATCAAATGATTTGGTGGTATTCTTGATTGTTATGTTTGCCGTTTGGGGTGCTTTATTGAGCTTTCCCCGCCATCCTTTCTTTACTCAGGAAAATTGATCATTTATTAATATTACAGTGTTTGCCACATGCATATTATTGTATAGTATGTACTTTTCAGATAAAACAATAAAATATTATTTTAAAAATGTAAGTAATTTAAAAGAGCCTATATATATTGAAGAAGTAAGCAATCTAAAAATTGCTAAAATTAATACTTTAAAAAAATTTAGTACAAAAGTAGAGCATAAAATTTTAGTACAAACTAAAAAAGTGTAGTAAATCTATTTCTAGTGACTGGAAGCTTTCTAAGACATTAAAAATAAGGGGCAAGTTATGAACAAAATTTATAGTACATGATTTTTAAAAATTAAAAAAATTTAACTATAATGATTACATTTATTGTAGAAAGTTGGTCCAGTATATAACACATCTTGGGAAGCATAAAAAAATCAGATTTTTTTTTTGTTGTTGTTGTTTTTTGTTTTTTTCGTACTGGGTATCAAACTCATGACCTCAGGCTTGCTAGGCAAGCACTTATGCGGCTGAGCTACATCCCCAGCCCAGATGTATTGAAAATATAAACAGGCAAGGGTGTCGTGAGAAATCACTGAGAAAATACCTGGAAAACATCAAGTTGAAGAAGGAAATGCTTATTTTTGGCTCATGGTTTCAGGGATTCAGCCTAAAGTCACTTTGCTCCATCTGGGCTGGGGTGGGACAGAACATCATGGTGGAGAGCATGTGGTGAATAAAGCTGTTCATCTCATTGCAATTGGGAAGGTGAGAGAGAGAGGAGCCGGACTAAATGTATCCTTCAAAGTCACGTCCCCAGTGACCTACTTTCTCCAACTATGCCCTACTCCTAAGGATTCTACCAGTAGGCAGTTAACTTAGGAATCCGTGCATGGATTAATGCATTCATTATAGTCCAAAACTTCATGACCTAACCCTCTCCTCCCAAAGGTCCCTACCTTTGAGCATAGCTGCACTGGGTGAAGCCTTCAACACATGAGCCTGTGGGGGATATTTAAATTCTAAACAATGACAGATCCAGATATATATGAGATAGAAAGGTACTCCACTAAACTGATGACACTGTTTCTTCTGGAGGGAACATGGTTGAGGAAGAATTTTGCTTTTATCTGTGTTATTTAGTTTTTGTTCCAGTGAAAATCTTATTATTCTGCGATTAGCCTCTCAGATACTGTAATATTGGGATCATTGTGTTGACTTCTAGTCTTTATTTTATTTAATTGTTCCCAATATTTATTGAAATCTTGCCTATCTACTCAGTTCTGGTTTGTGAGTCATTACTAAAAGTGTGTTTGTATCTACTGAAGTATATACTTCACATATCGTAAAAATTTAAACATTAAGTATATAGTCAGTGGTCTTTAGCAGAGTCACAGAGTTGTGCAGACACTACCACAAACCAGTGTCTTCATCACCCCAGTAAGAAACCTGGAACCCATTAGCGGTTGTTTCTCATTCCTTCCCAGCCTGGGCATCCACTGACTTCTGTCTCTAGATTTGCCTATTGTGGACATTTCATATAAATGAAATCATACAGTATGTGGTCTTCTTTGATTGGTTTTTCATTTAGCACAATTTTTCCGTGATTTATGCATGTTACATGTATTGGTATTTTTAAATGGCTGAATAGTACTCCATTATATGAATTTACTAGATTTTGTTTACCCATTTGTCAACTGATAATATATTTGAATTGTTTCTACTTTGCTTTGCTATTATGAATAATGCTGTGAACATTTGTGTATATTTTTTTATATAGGCACCTATTTCTTTTGGAATAAATAGGAATAAAATACTAGATCATATAGTAACTCTGTCTTATCATTTTGAGAAACTGCTGAAACATTTTCTATAGTTGCTGTTAATTTTACATTTCTACCAGGAATTCATGAGGGATCCAATTTTCACACATCCTAATACTTGATACCTTGTTTGTATTTATTTTTGGGGGGTGGATGTGTGCTAGAGTTTGAATCCAAGGCCTCATACAATGCTAAATCTGTCCTGTACTATTGCCCCTATTTTTTTTTTTTTATTGTAGATTATAGCCATTCTAGTGAATGTGAAATGGCATCTCATTATATGACTTTGATGTGCATTTCCCTAATGATTAATGATATTGAGCATGTTTTCATGTGCTTATTGGTATTTGTACATCCTCTTTGTTTTGTCTTTTTTTTGTTGTTTTTTTTTTTTTTGTTTTTCTCCGGTACCAGGAACCGAACTCATGACCTTGCGCTTGCCAGGCAGGCGCTTTTGCCACTGAGCTAAATACCCAGCCCCTTGTACATCCTCTTTGGAGAAATAACTGTTTTGGTCCTTGCCATTTTAAAAGTTGAAGTATATGTCTTTTATTGTTGAGTTGTAAGACTCCTTTATATGTTCTAGATAAGTCACTTATCAGATGTAAGATTTATACATACATTCTCCCATAATGTGGGCCGCCTTTTTTCCCATTTTCTTGATGTTATCATTTGCAGTAGTGTTTGGACCATCATATTTTAAAGTCTTTAAAGAAATGTTTTAAATTTTCATGAAACCTGTTTTCCTTTTTTAGTCAATAGTGCTTTTAGTTTTGTATCTTAAGAAACTTTTTTGTTTTTGGGGGGATATTTTTGAGATAGGGTCTTGCCATGCAGTTCAGGCTTGCCTTGAACTCACTATGTAGTCCAACTTGGCCTAGAACTTGTGACAGTCCTCCTGCCTCAGCCTCCCAAATGCTGGGATTACAGGCATGTGCCACCATGCCTGGCCTAAGAAACTCTTTACCTACTCCAACGCCATGAAAATTTTGCTTCCATATTTTCTTTGGGGAGTTTTATAGTTTTAGCTCTTACATTTAGATCTGTGATTTATTGTGGGTATCCAGTTGTCCTAATGTCATTTATTCTTCTCCCATTGAATTATATGGACACTATTGTCAAAACGTAACTGATTACAATAAAGGCATCTAGATTCTTAGTTGTGCTTCACTGATCTTGGCTTGTTGAAATTACACTGGTGTTTTAAAAATTTAGTTCCATAAGCAATTTCTTTTTTATATGAAATAATTTTACCTTAGAAACAAATATACTAAAAAACAGTGACTAGGAAGTAGATAGTTATTTTTTAAAAACTCATAAGCTATTTTAGGTTAAAAAAAACCTTTGCACTATATAGCATTTCAGGCATTGTGTGGTAGTTTTAAAAAATTATAAAATTTTGTATGGCTTATTTTAAAATGACTAAAATTGGAACAATTGCTTGAAAAAAAATGTTTACAAATACACGTTAGCATTGTTATACTCAATGGAGAAGTACTGCAAACAAGTCCAGCAAGTGGCAGAATTCAAATGTGTATAAACTGTGCATGTGTAAAGGGAGGCTGTCTTCTGCTCATCACTGCACTCCAAATACCAGGCACTTTGTTAGAAGCTACAGGAGAATAATATTAATACTTCTACATTTTCTGATGCTTACACATATGTATATTTTCTGCAAATTCTTTCATCTTTCAGAGGCTGCATCGCTGCTTTGTTTTCTGGAGAGCATAGAGGACATAAATTTATAGAAAGGCGTTATTGGCTTATTACTGTCTTCCTGTTTTATGTGCATGTTACTAAACAAGGAGTTCCCAAACTGCTTGTTTTGCAAAAGTGCATCTTCATGTGTTTGTGCCAGTGCTATAAATTCCTATTATATTACATACATAAAATGTATTTATTTTAGATCTCAAGCTGATTACTTTTTTATTTAGGAGTCTTTGTCTGAAGTGGAAGAGAAGTACAAGAAAGCTATGGTTTCTAATGCACAATTAGACAATGAGAAGAACAATTTGATATACCAGGTAGATACCCTGAAGGATGTAATTGAAGAACAGGAGGAACAGATGGCAGAATTTTATAGAGAAAATGAAGAAAAATCAAAGGTAATTACTTTTCTTTATATCATACTGTTTTCTTGGGTCAGAAATAAAAACTTGCCGTTGAAAAAGTGATGAGGTTATCCAGGCACATTGGGACATGCCTATAATCCCAGCTACTTGGAAGGCTGAGGCAGGAGGATAGGTTTGAGGCCATTGTGAGTGACTTAGCAAGACCCTATCTCAAAATAAAATTTTGAAAAAGATGTAGCTCAGCCTCCTTGGATTTCATCATTAAGCCACCTATACACACCGCTCCCTTCCACTTATTGTAGCCTACTTGGGAATGATGTTTCAGTCAAAACTGAATGGTCTAAGAAAATCGGAAGAATGCCATATGATACTAATTCTTTTAAAAAATTATTTTCCAAGGAAAGTCTTATGTCCTTTAGTGTCTTGAAAATAGATCACAACTGGTTTTATCTTTATTTTCTTTTAATTGGGGCAATTACGGCAAATTATTTATTTCTTCCTGTTTAAGTAGCTGGACCTACTACAAAGTTCCAGAGACTCAATAATACAGTTCTTTTGTTTTTTCTATGAACTTAAGAGAACCCACTTTTAAAATAAGACGTCTTTAACCAGTTATTTACAAACTGGTATAGAGACATAAGTCAGAACTGGCAATTTTCTTTAGAGGTTAAAAAGTATATTGTTAAAATGTATAGCCTGGGGGCTGGGGATTTAGCTCAGCGGCAAAAGCGCCTGCCTGGCAAGTGCAAGGTCGTGAGTTCGGTTCCCAGTACCGGAGAAAAACCAAAAAAA